TCAATTTCATAAAAAGGAAACTTGAAAATTGTGATTAGTATTTAAACGGTACTGTGTAGTGGGAAAAACTCGATCTGAGTCAGATTTAACATTCGATTACAATCTGTGCATATTCAAGTAAGGAGTGAATAGGCTTTTGATACGCTAAGATAGTGCGATTTACTATCTAAAGTTTCACCATCATTTATAACCAGTTGGAATTGTAGTCAAGTACTAGCTTATATTAATTGAGTTAGTACGAGGGTGGATTGAAAAGTACTCGGCCTAACCAAGAAAATAAACACATACTAAATCAGTAATATTTTTATTTTTCTACATAATCACCATCAAGTTCAATAAACTTATGCCACCTCCACTTCCAAGCATTTAGACCGTTGAAAAAAAATGATTCTTCCTTAGAGTCAAAATATGCGTCTACAGCTGCTTTGACCTCGTCGTTTGTCGAAAATCTTTGACCTCCCAGGTGCTTTTTTAGGTTAGGGGAACAGAAAGAAGTCTGATGGTGCCAGATCAGGTGAATACGGCGGATGCGGTAACAGTTCAAAGCCACAGTTGTGAATTTCAGCCATTGACTGTACTGACGTGTGAACACGGGCGTTATCTTGATGAAACAGGACTTTTCTTCTGAGCATTCCTCGACGTTTTTCTTTTATTTCTTCTCGTAAACGACGTAGTAAGGTGCAGTAGTAATCAGAGTTTATAGTCTGACCCCTTTCAAGATAATCAATCATAATCACACCTTTCGAGTCCCAGAATACTGAAGCCATCACCTTATTTGCCGACAAAATCGACTTAGCCTTTTTAGGGGGTGGTGAACCTAGTCTTCTCCACTGTTTTGATTGTTGTTTTGTTTCCGGTGTACAGTAATGAACCCATGTTTCGTCCATAGTAACAAAACGATTCAAAAAATCATCTGCATCGGCTTCAAATAACTCCAAACAGTCGCGTGAAATAGTCAATCGCGTCCTTTTTTGTTCAACTGAAAGCAGTCGCGGAACCCACCTCGCAGACACCTTGTGGAAACCCAACTCGTTGACAATGATGTTTTGAGTTCATTCATAAGAGATGCCTATAATTTCGGCTATCTCTCTAATTTTTAATCTGCGGTCTCCCATTATTAAATCAAGTATTTTTTTTAATATTTTCGTCAGTAGTTGACGTCGAAGGACTTCCAGAGCGGGGTTCATCTTTCACACTCTCTCTACCACGCTTAAATTCTGCTATCCATTTTTTGACGGATGAATATGACAGAACACAATCGCCTAATGTACTGACCATGTCATCATGGATGGCTTTTGATGATAGCCCCTTCTTATGGAGGTACTTAATGACGGCACGCTGCTCGATTTGCTCCATTCGCGGAAATTATGTCCGATTACTTTGTTAATAAATTTATAAAATCACAACTAATTATCGCACACGTTTCGAACTTCACACAATGAACTAGTCTGAACTGAACTAAATAATGTGGGTGGATTTGATTTTTAGAATTGAATGTATCTGTGTTAGGCCGAGTACTTTTCAATCCACCCTCGTAATATGTACTTGCGTACTAGAACAGCTATCTCAAACAAAAAATGTGCGCTTCTCTACTAGGGTTGATCCAAAAGTAATGATAATCGGTTACTTTAGGTCCACATAAAAATCCAAAAAAAATATTTTTGCTTGCTTATATACTCACGACGTCAGCCTAAAAAATCATATAAATAGATCACGATTTTCGAGAGATACATACATTTGAATACGAACTGTCAAAAAAATAACATCAACATGGAGAAAAACGAAATTAGAGCTGTCATCAAGTACCTCTGTTTGAAAAAAATCTCTTCAAAACACATACACAGTGACTTAGTGGAAACATTGGGGGACTCTGCTCCTCCATATTCTACAGTTGCAAGAGTTTGAACTGGGCAGAACATCCACTGAAGATGAACATCGCGAAGGTCGCCCAGCCACGTCCCTCACTGAAGACAACGTGAAAAAGTCGAAAATGTTGTGTTGGCAGATCGAAGATTGACAATCTGCCATGTAGCTGAGGTCACAGGGATCTCATATGGCAGCGTTCAAAGAATCCAAAAAAAATCCAAAAATTTCAAAGGGAATCCTGGGTTTAGAAAAAAGATGGACTAAATGTATTGATTTGTTAGGAGACTATGTAGAAAAATAAATTATTATTTTAACTTTAATTACCGTGTTTTATTTTCATTATCCGTACTTTTGGATCACTCCTCGTATGTTCGCGCAGTTGGTTTTTTATCATAGATTAAATATAGGTAGAATGATCCGTAGGTAATAGTAGATTGTATTTTTTAAATAGGTAAATCGATGGGTTATCGATATATAAAAAAAAATTTAAATATCGAGAACAATATTTAAATTTTGTCATTTATTTTGTATATAATATTTCCTTATTTGATATAATATTACATAATATTATATCACTATTACATTTTAATGATATTTTTATCTGAATATTTAAAAAGTTATCTATATCAAATATAAAAAACATACTAAATGTATGCTTAATAAAACTTATTCACATTACATTTAAATAACAAATATATTTATTTAAATTAGAATAAGAGTCTTTCATAAATGCTGGGCACGCGAGAGTTAAAAATATACGAATTTATTCCACTTTGAATTTGAAGCGGAGACCTGAAAATAAAATGAAAGAATAAAAAGCAGATTTAAACATGAAATATTTAGCCTAATTATAATAACTTATATATGTTTCTACAAAAAAAGAGTATAATAATATAATCGTCCTGTACTTAAGTATCCACAGAAATGTCGCATCTGAACATATTAATTTCATAATCTATATTCCATGACACGAAATGGCGTCTTAGGAATATTTTGTTTTATTATTAATCTATAATACTTTTTTATTTATTAAGTATTTTATTAACCGATGAAAATTAATTCCTTGGTTTTTACATTTTTTATTTCTTGAATTATTTGTGCAACATCTAAGTACACTCGACGGCATATTTTTATCAAGAGATTTTTTTAAATCAATACGACACGTGACAACTCTACAAGCGCCTAACGAGTGACTGATTAAAGTGCGGTGTATATAGTACCGCAGTTAGTGGAACAGAGTAGCTGAATGTAGTGTCGCCTCTAGTATAGTAGCTCAATGGTTAAAATAGTATTTTTTTTATATCCTACGTTTTCATTGCTATCATGAAGTACAATTGCGTGTCGTATGGTTTCTCTGTACGATAAACGTAGAAATAAGGATATCCGCAGTAGAAACAGAGCGACCAACTTAGCCCAACGGATTAGTAAGCTGAAGTGACAATGCGCCGGCCATATAGGTTGAAGAACCGACAACCGTTGGGAAAAAAATTTCTCGAGTGTCAGCTTCGTATCAGTACGCGTAGTGCATGCAGTACATGCAGGAAGTCGATGGATGCAAGTGGCTCAGGACCGTGCTTTGTGGAATTCCTTGGCGGACGCCTATGTTCTGCAATAGACTTGTAAATGTTTGTAATGATGATGATGATGGAGCTACAGATACTTTACATCTCCATTTTCCGTTTGCCTCGGTCACCTCTCATGACATATGGAGGAATATTTAAACTTAACAGACGCAATTTATTTCCAGAAAAGCTAAATTAATTTGAATTTATTTTTAATGATGTATTTCCTTGTAGTTTTGCTAATTTTTCACAAACCTTAATACTTCTAATAGGAATAATAGAAAATAATACTTATTTCATTTTTTTACAAAATACCTTCACAGAAATTCTTAGAGTATATTAATGAAAGGCTAAATAGATATTATTCCACAATTTTATTTTACATAATTATTTACTAAAAGCCGTACTTGTAAAGGGTCGACCATTTTACCAAAGGACTTGTTATCATCCAAAGTTTAAACGATTTATTTTCTTACGAGGGATAATACAATTGAACAGTAAGGCTGATAGTATTTTGTAGGAAATCCATTTATTTTGGGTCTCGTTCAGTTGTGGTCAAACATTTTCATATTTCCGTTATATATGCACTAAATAATATTTGAGTTGGAAAAACCTTAAACAATATGCATTGTGATTTCTTAAATTTACGCGAACACTACACTTGAATAAAACTAAATTTACATATCGCGTTTATTTCACTACTTTTACTTATTTTTTAAATCCCGACGTTTCGGGTGCTTTACAGCAACCATGGTCACGGGGGGGGGGGGACTGAGATGTTTGATGTCCCAATGTCATTGTTAGCCCGGCTACCTTCAGTTTTTGAATATTAATTTATCGGACCAAAAATTTAAAAAAAAGCACCCGAAACGTCGGGAATTAAAAATAAGTAAAAGTATTGAAATAAACGCGATAAAATCCGTAAATTTAGTTTTATTCAATATGCATTGATCAAGAGATTTGATGATATTAGTGAGAATATTAGATCATAGTTATAAAATTATTTTAGTGTTTTTTGTTCTCAAGTTTGCGGAATTTAAAATTATTCAGGCGTCCGGAATTGAGCGAAAACTGAATTTTCACACTTTTGTATCTCTATGTAGTCATATGTGTACATATTATACGTACTCATAGACAGTCTAAAAGATCAATAATTTGTCTGTAATTTTGTTTGTTATAATTATTAAAAATCCTCAATTTTATATCGTGTTGTAGACGTAGTCCTAGCGTAACTTGTGACAGTCAAAGATTTGGAGAAGAGTCGTTAACGATGGTATAGTCATGTTTTCTGAAGACTTGCAGACTGGGTAGAACATAAATGTTTGTATGTCGGAGAATCAGTGGTGCCATACACGATTAAGTTGTGGCAACACTGGTCCTCGTCCAATAAACAACAACCGAACGCAAGCGTGGCCTCATGATTGTATGTGGCAATGGGAGTGATGGCATTCTATCGCCAGTGCACGCACCAAGCGGACATATCTGTTCGACTGAGATTGTTAAGTTACTTTAATTGTCAAGATACGATTAGACAAGAATATTGTTGCGATTTTTTGTTCAAGTCTAGCTACTATGACGGTTCCCGGTAAAGGGGACACATTGGGCCCAGAAACTCGCCCTTTATCGACATCACAAGGCGTTGATGCAACGCAGCGGCTCGCTGGCGCTGGTTCTGCGTGGCGGCTCAAAGGCGCTGATGCGGCGCAGCAGTTCGTTGATGCTGATGCGGCGCAGTGGCTCACTGGTCTTGGCGTGATGCTGTCGCTTGCTGGCACTGGTGTGGCGCAGCAGCTCGCTGGGACGGGTGCAGCGCAGCGGCTTGCTGGCACGGGTGCGTTTCATGTCGATCGACTACTGGACTAGGTTTTAGTGCTAGTCGTTGTGGTATTAGTCACTCTGGCGTTCGTTGCGTGGTATTTGTCTCTATACCTTGTTGTTTAGTCCATCCTCTATTGGGCTGGGTATAAGAGCTAGTCGCTGTGGTACTAGTCATTTAGGCGTTCGTTACTTAACGTTAGTTGCTACATCTTGGTGGGCTCACATGTATAAATACGGTCTCCATGATGGACGGGCTCACACGTACCAATACTGACTCCGTATTTGGCAGGCTTGAATATGGTCCGCATCCTAGTGCGAGTGCGGAGCTAGTCCAGCACATCGCGACCATTCGTTGGCGCGAGTGCAGCGCATCACGACCATTCGCTGGCGAGAAGCGCAGGAACTATCTGGTGTAAGTGTAAGGCGGCGGCTCGCTGACGCTGGTAAGGCACAACAGCGCACTGGTGCAAGTGTAGAACTGCGGTTCGCTAACGCTGGTACGGTGAGTGCAGCGTAGTGGCTCACTGGTTCTGGTGCGGCGTGATAGGCTGCTGGCGGAAACGCATCGACACCCCTTGCTGGAGCTCAATCGGCTGGTTGCCTGTATCTTCATTGATCTGTGCCGTTTGCGCAGTTTTTCTCAGAGAAGATTGTGTTATCTGCAACATGCGTAAAGCTCTAGTAGGAAGCGTTGTCTCTAATTTAACTGGTCTAATTTTAACAATGTTTTCAATTCTGTAAAAGCTTATTCTGTATGAAATGTATTTTGAATACATATATTTCATACAGACTTACTTATTGTGTATTGTTGAATACAAACAGGTAAAGATTTGAAGACAAAAGTTTATCATTTTATGATCAGAAAGTGCCGCGACGGGAAAATTACATTAAATCTGTAACATTAATGTAGCCTCTCATACTTCTAACGATGAACCTCCAGATGTATTTTCGGCAGCTACATAAATCGATTTATTGTATTTGACTATATTATCTTAGAAAATGAGGATAGGAATAAGTCATTTGTATATACCTTCGTATACCAAGTCGCTCGCAAACAAATACGAAACACTCACGTGCATCGTTTGTTTTTTCTTAATCTGTGCAAAACAAATGCAGGCAAGCGTGCGCCTTTGCGTCGTATAATGGAACTGTATAACAATAGCTTCTCCGATTTAGACTTATTTACCATGTCCTTACCTTAGTTTAGAAAAGCTATAAAACTTGTATTAAATGACTTGTAATTTTTATTTTTATCTTTATTTCTATTTTCTTATAACGGTAATCTATATTGTTTTATTTTTTATATAATACATGTGTAATATTCTTGATTTTACTGTTAACGGCTAAGTATGCATTGTGGCCTCTAGTTTTTTTTAATTATTTTATTTTATGTTTGTGTTCTCTGTGCCTTATAACTTTAATTAATTAGGTAACTTTGTGGATAACGGTGTTGGTTGTGTAATTTGTTTCTGTATTTACATATAAGATTTGAATTGTAATTTTTATTATACAACTGTTTGTTGTCCTTAATAAAACAAAAAAAGACCAAGCTAGATCCAAAGTTCAAAGCTCCACTTAATATCATAGGTGTTCTGAAATGATGAGTGCCCGCATGATGGGCCGGTTGAGGTACGTTAACGTGGGGTCTCGGCAGAGTTGAAGCTAGATGTAGAGTCAGATGGAAAAAAAATTAGGGGCTCTTGTAGTGGCGCTTGAAACCGTCTTTGCTTTTACCTGAGCCGTAGGTGACCATTGTGTAACTGTTTGATAAAAGAAGAGTGTGGTTTGCAAGATGATTCAGTAACCAAGATTAAAAAAGGAATGCTTCGGTGGTTTGGTCATGTAGAAAGAATAGATGAGGAGAGACTGACAAAGCAAATATATGTTGCAGAAGTAAATGGAATAGTCGGAAAGGGACGTTCTAGGCGAAAGTTTGTCGACCAAATTGGCGATATATTAAAAATGGGCCAAATTAAGGGTACCTTTAACTGACGGGCATGTGGGAGGGAAGAGGCGAGAGAGATATGTCAGAATCGTGCTAAATGGAAGTCTGTAGTCTCTGCCTACCCCTTTGGGTGACAGGCGTGAGTGATTTATGTATTATGTATATATGTATTAGCCGTTGGTGCGGCGGCATTTTGTATTACCTCGTTTACGTAATAATATAAACGGGATATGTGGTTGTGGCGACGGCAAGCTTTTACGAGTTATGTCTTCTTTAGTTGTAGCGAAAGCGAGATGAGCCATTGTAGCTGCGATCAAACAGTTGTGGGTGCGGTGGTATGTTATTTTACCCTCGATAACGCGGTGACGTAAACGGGATGAGTCGTTGTAGCGATTATAGCATGCATACATTTCTTTCGTTCTAGCGAAAGCGAGATGAGCCTTAATTGCAGTGTTAAAAATGTTGTTTTGCCCTATGTGTGTGTATCAAGCGTTATTTTATAATCCTGTGCTTAATGACTTAAGTTGATTAGTTTGTAGAGATTTTAAACATTTTTATCTAAATGAATGAGAGAAATATTTTGTATGAGTTTTAATGTAGATTCACTATTTTTAGTTGTGTTATCAGAATGGTCAAACAGATTAGCTGTGTCAATGCTTTGTACTTGCAGATCTTACACACGAGGACGTGCGAGTGGTCAGATATGGTCCTATTAGAGAATCAGTGGCGCCATCTGACAACACCATTTCTCGCCCAATAAACAACATCCGAACGCAAGCGTGACATGTATGGATACGAGTCATGCATGGATGCGACCAGCCGTGGAAGTGAGGAATTATGTCGCCAGTGTCCGCACCCAGTGGACACATCCGTCTGACTGAGATTGTTTAGTTACTTTGATTGTCAAGACAAATATAGACTTGATTATTTTTGCAATTGTTTTGCTCGAGGCTAGCCACCACGACGGATCTTGATTAAGATAGGCCCATTAGGCCTAGAATCTTGAACTTTGCCGACTCTAAATAAACGTCTTTTTAAATAACGTGATTAGAAGAGCTTGAAGTCCACCTGAAGAAACTGCTATTGCAAATTATAAGCACCTGCTACTTTAACTTTACTTAAAATATAAAAGAAGACTACAGATACGTAATTTACTCTGAGGACTGAGGTGTACCTCACAGATTGTAATATTATTGGTTCTCTATACCTTCTAAATCTAAACAGCGGTGCACGTTTTCTAACGTGGCCACGTGAGCCACGATGCAGCTATATTACTGTTATTGCACGAATAGGTTATGTCGAACGGGGTAAGACCACGCTCTTACAGAATACCAGCGTAAAATAGCAGTAAAGCTGCTACACATACTGTTACGAGCTTAGGGTTCTTGACAACAAAAACTGCCGATTGATATACCAAAATTGACACTTTAATTACCGAACACCAATTAAAGTTTAAAACATACTAATAATTAATCACACTTAACACGTTTCGAAGTCTTCGCTTGAATCGCCAATTCAATATTCCCTCGGTCACGCTCCTTATGGACTTTATATAGGATCTTATCCACCGAAAATATCTAGAATGTTCGAGTGAAATATCGAAAATTCTAGCAAGCCTCGTCGACACTAATGGTGCCTGTGGGAAATTTCTAGAAAAATCTTGACGCTCCCATTTATGCTACTTTGTACTAGATGGCGCTAATTATCACCCGCCATATACCGGGCATTAAATATGGCGCGCAACAATACTCTGGTGTGTTGTGGAGTGTAGAGAACAGGAGGTAGGAGAACCATTTTACTGGAAATGAGGCATTCCATCATAGTCTTCATGAATGACAATGCAACTGCATTCTCGGGTATAAATGTAGATGTCTATTGGCCGCAACAACCAACTACCATCGGGTGTATTGTGAGCTCGTTTGCCACACTTATTCTTTAAAATAACGTACTGCTCCTTGACGTCAGAAATAGGTAACAGTGTGGCACCTACTCAGACAAACTTCTAGGCATAATAGAAGTTACTTAGACTCATAAATGTCATTCGGTGCCAGTTTGCAGCGATATCTCAAAAAAAAAAAAAGATAATTTGAACTCTAAAAAGAATGTATGCATAGCTTAAACCAAATACAATAAAACAAGTTAGAAATAACAAAGCTAAATATTCAATTAATTTAAAAACATATTTGTTACTTTGAGAGGTCAAGAGCAGCATTTAATATTTTCTTTTGGATTTCAATTGGTATTTGATATTCATGTCAATAGATTATTATTTAAAGAGGATGCTCAAGACCGGGCAAAGTGGAGAAAAGTGAATTGGAAAACGGGTCCTGTCATAAAGCTGTGAAAACTTTACGGTAAATAAAATTCCACTTAACATTTATTCTATTAAATATCATATATATAAGGGACACCGCTCCAAGATCTATTTGTCATGTCTTATTTGTATTGCAGTGGCAATAAATAATGCTCAGAATATTCAGGCGTGGATTTGGAGTTAAAGTTCAGAGGGATTCGGAAAATCAAGTTTCACTTACGCCATTCTTTCATCTCTATGTAAAATTTGAGTTAAGAATAAGACTATTTATAGCAGACTACGTAGTGGGTAATTGAAACAGCGTTTTGAGGTAGTGTCGTACTTAAAGCTATCCTGGCCATTTACTGAATACGACTATGTGGAGTTTTCAAGAGTGAATAAGTTTTGAATCTTTTTGCGTTAAATTTCTGACGATAAGAATTTCGATGTTATATATAATCTTTGAAGCCTATCTTTTTCTAGATTTTTTTTATTTTTTCATTTTTACAAGGTCTTTGAGATTCAATTATATTTTTTAAGTAAAACAACACATTGAAAATTATTAAGAGGTAAAGTTAGAATCACCTTTTTTAGATTTCTTGAATATTTTATTACTTGATAGCTATTATTGATTATGAGTTATAAATAATTTATACCATATAAATAATATTAAAGCATCTGTCTTTAACTAAATAACTGCATTTTATTGAGACATGAATAACCATTTTTAATTTCATTACCTATTTGTCTCTTTGTTTATCAATCTGGGCTAATATTCGGAATGCCTGAAGTGACTTTAATAAAACTTCACGAACTGATTGAGAGCTATGCTAGGATTGCTAGGCTATATTTATCTAAAAAATGTGGAAACTTTTAAAAAAATACGAAAAATTAATAAAATAAATTGTCTTTCATTATCTTAAATGTAAGTATCCCTATATTTACCTTACCCATGCGAAATTGAGGCAAATTAGTTTATAAGTGGTAGAGCCATGCTGCAGCTATATTATGGTTGTAGCACAAATGATTTGGCTAGACCGGAGAAGGACCACGCTCTCACAGAATACCAGCGTAAAGTAGCAGCTCAATCCTGCTGTGTTTCTTATGATGAGTGTAGAGAACCGGGGACCCTTTTTACTGGAAACGAGGCACTTTATTTTAGTCCTCTGGGGTGGCAACGCATCTGCATTTTGATTCTTAATTGAGGAGAGATCTAGATGTCCATGGACCACAGCATCCACTTACCAATAAGTGGACAGTGTGTATCGTTTGTCACTCTTACGAGGATGAGAGTGAAAGTTCTTAGAAAATGAAAAACTGAACCAACTAGCAAGTTATTAGTTTTATTATATTATTTAATAGTGTATTTTCACATCAATATATCGCTGCACGATACACCACGATTGCACCACTTAGAAAAGCACTTTGATCACTCGTCTTTAGTAGTTCTTCGACGGCATTTTGAAACGTAGTCACTGCTTCCTCAGTGTCCATAAAACGTTTTCTTCAAAGTTTTTCTTTTAAATTCGGAAATAAATAAAAATCGCAAGGTGCGAAATCAGGGCTATAAAGCGGATGACCGCGTGATTCCACGTCCAGTTGATTGTTTGCTTGGCGGTGTGTGACGAGGCGTTGTCGTAGTGAAGGAAGATTCTACTGCGAGGTCGTTTCTCTCGAGCTTTTTTCAAGATAAGTACAAAAATTATTTTACCACAGAGTAACTGATTTTCTATCCTCTAAAACAATTGTTGCTCAATAACCTGTCCTTCCAAACAACGAGGCCATCATCTTTTTCCCACGCTTCGACCTCTCTTCACTTTAGTTGGCAACTCTTCCGAAGGAAACACCCAGAGAGCAGACTTTCTCTCTATATTTCAGGATCATAATAATAAATCTAGCTTTTGTTATCCGTAATTATTTCAAAAACAGCATTTGAGTCACCTCCGTTAAATGTTTGAAATGTTTGGCTTCATGGTGAAAGCCAAAATGAAGTCTGTCATAACTCTTTTGTTGAATTATATGACATCGAAAGTTATTAAAAAATCATTGCACGAAAATTTTCTAGTGTTAAATTCATGCTGACGTGATACAGACAATTTTCGATTTGTTGCCAAATCGTAAACAAATGACAAATTATTAAAATACGTACACAATATCATAATCCACACCATCTGGATGCTTGGCGGTCCACCACTGTACAAAGGTTTTCTTTCTGTGGAATAGTTTACCACCGGTGATTTTTCCGGACCGATACGACCTAGGGACCTTCAAAAAAAGAGCTTACTCCTTTCTAAAGGGCCGGCAATGCACTTGCAATTCCCCCTGATGTTGCGGTTGATCATGGGCGGCGGTAGTCACTTAATATCAGGTGAGCCGCATGCTCGTTTGCTCCCTCTTCTATAAAAAAAAACAACAATATTGGCAAAGAGTTTCACTTACAAAATTTGACCTTATTTTTTATTATTTTGTTTACAGGTAGCCAGTTATAAAATAATTTATTATTTTATTAAATATTTATTAATATTTTATTGTATAAAAATTTAAGAGTTTTTTTAATTTAATGTTCATAATATTTGAATTTAATAAAAATATTTGTACATAATTTTAAGCTAAACACAACATTTCCACGATTGTTCCTTTTTCTTAGCAAAAGTAATAGGAATTACGTGTGCAGACGTGCCGATGGTATTAGAATTTTTATTCCAACTGGAAAAAGTAATTTAATCATTGGCCATCCATTATGGAACTTGTAAAGAAAAACCAATTTAGTTTGCCTGTATGCTGATGCAATATTTATAGAGGTAAATAAAATCCAGTTTTTCCTTATAAATCTTAATAGTGTAACGTACTAAACGAATTAGAGTTTGCGAATGCACTTTATTTGGATGTTTTTTAATTTTAAAATATTATTTTAAAAATTAATGATTTTAGGCAATGAATCTGAGAGACAATGAGCACTAACCTTTGTACTATAGGCGTCTTCTGATAGTACTTACTGGGTTACTGTTCCGTCGTTATGTTTGGAACTTCCAAGGATAATATTAAAGACAATTTTCTATAGTTTATACACTAAAAATAAATAAATGTACATACATAATACATAAACACTCGCGCCTGTCACCCAGAGGGGTAGGCAGAGACTACAGACTTCCATTTGGCACGATCCTGACACACCTCTCTCGCCTCCTTCACATCCATACACCTCCGCATACATGCTTGTCGGTTAAGGGTACTCCTAATTTGGCCCGTTTTCAATAAATCGCCAATTTGGTCGATAAATTTTCGCCTAGGACGTCCCTTTCCGACTCTGCCATTCAGTTCTGCAACATAAATTTTCTTTGTCACTCTTTCCTCATTCATTCTTTCCACATGACCAAACCACCGAAGCATTCCTTTCTTAATCCTGGTCACAACATCATCTTGCAAACCACACTCTTCTCTTATTACACAATTTCTTACCCTGTCATTAAGATTTAGCCCTAACATACTC